AATTGGGATAGCTTTTCTTAATTGCATCATATTCAGTAAAATATGTAATTGGCGTTTCTATTTATTCATTAATCAATTGCTTCGTTATTAAACTTTTCTTCTTCTTTTTTAATAGTATGGAATGATTATAATGTAGTATATATTCATAATCTTTTTTTAATTATTGATAATGTACGTGTCCTATAAATATAACTGCTCGAATCCGAAACTTGTAAAGAGTAAGGTCGCTAGATGATTGAGGTTTTTGAACAGGTCCTTTACAAGCTAAAAAAAGTCAATATTCTCTTAGGAGTAAAAACATATATTTCGTTTTACACATGAAAGGAAACTCTTGTTTTACTTTTTTGTAGGGGAGAAAGTGTTAGGTATGGCTCATAAATATACCAGTAAAGAGGACAGGAGATGGAGCGGAGTGAGCGAAGCGAACATCAACTGTCCTTACAAAGAAAGTCTCGTTGTGGGGTTACGAATTATGTGGGTTGGGGGTGCGGGGGCGCAGCCCCCGCGGTACGGTACAGGGTTAATTTTGTAATTATATACCAGGGTTTTCTATTATAAATAGAGATGTAACCTAGACCTAAAATATCATTGAATAAAAAAACTTCTAGCGCCGCCTAGGCACCGAGGACGTAAGCACATTGCCGAACCTCGTAAAATTCTCGTGTTCTTTTGTTTTCTTTACCCGTTTTCGTCAATAATTGGTATCAGATGTCAGGAGCAAAATTCGAAGTCGCGAAATTCAATGGTCAGGGTAACTTCGGATTATGGCAAACGAGGGTGAAGGATCTATTGGCGCAGCAAGGGATCTTGAAGGCTTTGCGATCTACAAAGCCGGCGTCGATGGATGAGGAAGATTGGGAAGAATTGCAGCAGCGAGCGGCAGGAACCATACGATTATGCTTGGCGGACGAGGTCATGTATCACGTCATGCATCTATCGTCTCCAGACGAAATTTGGAGGAAGTTGGAAAGTCAGTTTATGTCCAAATCCTTAACGACAAAACTGTATCTGAAGCAGCGGCTGTATGGGCTGAAGATGCAGGACGATCACGATTTGGCGCAACACGTGAATGTCTTCAATCAAATCGTTTCTGATCTGGCTCGGCTTGATGTGAAAATTGAGGATGAAGACAGAGCGATGATTCTGTTGTGTTCGTTGCCTCCCTCTTACGAACACATGGTGACTACTCTTACATATGGGAAAGAGACTATCAATGTTGAGGAGATTACTGCAGCCTTGTTGGCTCACAACCAGCGGAAGCAGAATGCAGGGGAAAGCTCTCAAGCTGATAGCTTATATGTCAAGGGTAATCGAGATCGTGGACGGAAGCCAGAGAAGGCAGGGTCCGGGAAGCGGAATTCCAGATCCAAATCCAGGGATAAGAAGACGATTCACTGTTACAAGTGCAAGAAGGCGGGATATATGAAGCGAGACTGTCCGAAGTTGAAAAAGCAGACTGATGAGAAGCGTGATGGCTCATCCAAGTCTGTGAACGTGGTCGAGGATGATAATTCTGATTGCAGTGAGGGTGATATGCTTTCTATTTCAACGACACAATTGACGGATGCTTGGATTCTTGATTCTGGATGTTCTTATCACATCACGCCAAATAGGGAATGGTTTTCGACATACAGGCCGGTTAATTCTGGTTCGGTTTATTTGGGTGATGATCGATGTTGCAATATTGTTGATATTGGTGATGTCAGAATTAAGATGCACGATGGCTCCGTTCGGACGTTGAGTGGTGTTCGACATATCCCAGACTTGAAGAAGAATTTGATTTCCTTGGGCACTTTGCACAAGAATGGTTTTATCCCTAAGGCTGACGAGGATAGGGAAACCATTCGGATTGTTAAAGGAGCATTGACTGTGATGAAAGGCAAGATGACTGCAGGGAATATCTACAGATTGTTAGGGAGTACCGTTGCAGGTGGAGTTCACTCTGTTGAGTCCTGTGATGATACGACAAAATTGTGGCATATGCGCCTTGCTCATCTTAGTGAACGTGGTATGGCAGAATTACACAAGAGAAACTTGTTGCATGGTGTCAAAAGCTGTAAGCTCGACTTTTGCAAGTATTGTGTTCTTGGTAAACAGACTAAAGTCCGTTTCAAGACTGCGAAGCACACAACTCAAGGGATTCTTGATTATGTGCATTCTGATGTATGGGGGCCTTCCACGACATCGTCTTGGGTGGATCTAGGTACTATGTTACTTTTATTGATGATTTTTCACGGAAAGTTTGGGTGTATTTTTGAAACAGAAATCTGAAGTTTTTGAGAAGTTCAAGCTGTGGAAAGCTGAGGTAGAAAACCAAACAGGACGAAAAATCAAGTGTTTGCGGTCTGACAATGGTACGGAGTACACAGATTCACAGTTCCTACAATTCTGTAAGGAGCATGGGATTCAGAGGCATTTTACAATGCGCAAGACACCACAACAGAATGGTGTTGCGGAACGAATGAACAGGTCGTTGAATGAAAGAGCCAGATGTTTGCGGTTGAATGCGGGGCTTCCCAAACACTTCTGGGCTGAGGCTGTTAACATGGCGTGTTACCTTATCAACAGATCGCCAAGGGCATCGCTGGCTGGGAAAGTTGCAGAAGAGGTATGGACTGGTCATGATGTTAGTTTTGATAACTTACGGATTTTTGGTTGTCCTGCTTATGTGCATGTACCTGCTGATGAGAGATCCAAACTTGATGCAAAATCGAAGGAGTGCATTTTTCTGGGTTACAAGAAAGGTGTCAAAGGATTCAAGTTCTGGGATCCAGTTGCGAAGAAAGTTGTGATTAGTAGAGATGTCGTTTTTGATGAACAATCCATGTTGCAGCATAAGCAAGACACGACAGTGGTGGATTTCGAGCAGTTTCCAGTTGAGAAACCAGAAACTTCTCAACCGACTTCTGGTGGTTCCACTACGGATGATTTGCAGGATTATAGTCTCGCCAGAGACAGGGTGAGACGGACGAATATAAAGCCTCCGAACAGATTGGGTTTTGAAGACTTGGTATCTTTTGCACTTATTGTTAGCAGTGATGATCCGGTTACTTTTCATGATGCCGTTACTAGTCAGGAAAACGACAAGTGGATGGCAGCCATGGTTGAGGAGATGGAGTCTTTGAATCACAATCGCACATGGGAGTTAGTTCCCCTTCCTGAGGGTAAGAAGCCGATTGGTAGCAAATGGGTGTATAAGAAGAAACCAGTAGTAACAGAAAAGAGGGGGAGAAGTTCAAGGCTCGTTTGGTAGCGAAGGGTTTTTCACAACAGAAAGGAGTTGATTATGATGAAATATTTTCTCCTGTGGTCAGGCACACTTCAATCCGAGCAGTACTTGCAAAGGATTTGCATTTAGAGCAGATGGATGTTAAAACTGCTTTTTTGCATGGTGATTTAGAGGAGCAGATCTATATGTGGCAACCTGAAGGTTTCACTCAACCTGGAAATGAGCATTTAGTTTGCAGATTGAAGAAATCTTTGTACGGGTTGAAACAGTCTCCGAGACAGTGGTATAAACGGTTTGACTCCTATATGATCAAGATTGGCTACAACCGATGTGAGTATGATTGTTGTGTCTATGTTAAGAGTCTTGATGATGGTTCTTTTATTTTTCTATTATTGTATGTTGATGATATGTTGATTGCTGCGAAGAACATGATGATGTTATCGGTTTGAAAACTTTATTGAGTCAGGAATTTGATATGAAAGATTTAGGTGCTGCAAAGAAAATTCTTGGAATGGAAATTTGCAGGGACAGAGACTCAAGGAAACTGCGGCTATCTCAACGGGGTTATGTTGAGAAAATGCTAGAAAGGTTTGCGATGAGCAGCGCAAAACCAGTTAGCACTCCATTGGCGAATCACTTTAAGCTCTCATCAGAACAGTGCCCCAAGACAGATAAGGAAGCTGAAGATATGGCAAAGGTTACGTATTCTAATGTTGTTGGCTGCTTGATGTATGCGATGGTATGTACTCGTCCTGATTTAGCTCATGCTGTTAGTCAAGTTTGTAAGTACATGTCTAAACCTGGTAAGCAACATTGGGAAGCAGTCAAGTGGATCTTTCGGTACTTAAAGGGTACTGTGGGACATGGAATTGTTTTTGGGAGTCAGCGGGATAATCCTTTGGTTGTAGGATATGTGGATTCAGACTATGCAGGTGACTTGGATAATAGAAGATCTACGACAGGGTATGTCTTTACTCTTGGTGGAGGGCTTATTTGTTGGAAGTCTACTGTTCAATCTATTGTGGCTCTATCTACAACTGAAGCTGAGTACATGGCAGCGGCTGAAGCTGCAAAAGAAGCTTTATGGCTTACTGGTTTAGTGAATGAGTTGGGTGTTCAACAAGGTGGAGTTCAGTTGCTTTGTGATAATCAAAGTGCTATTCACTTGGCTAAGAATCAGGTGTATCGTGCTAGAACTAAACATATTGATGTAAGGTTCCACAAGATCAGAGAGTTGGTTGCATCTGGAGAGGTTTTGTTTCAGAAGGTACATACTGATGAAAATGCCGCTGATATGTTCACTAAGCCAGTTACGACAGACAAGTTCAAGCATTGCTTGGACTTGTTGAATGTTTCGAGTTGTTAAAGAATCAAGGTAACCCAACCCACATTGAATTTTCAAGAGGCAGGATATTCGCCAAGGTGGAGATTTGTTAGGTATGGCTCATAAATATACCAGTAAAGAGGACAGGAGATGGAGCGGAGTGAGCGAAGCGAACATCAACTGTCCTTACAAAGAAAGTCTCGTTGTGGGGTTACGAATTATGTGGGTTGGGGGTGCGGGGGCGCAACCCCCGCGGTACGGTACAGGGTTAATTTTGTAATTATGTATCAGGGTTTTCTATTATAAATAGAGATGTAACCTAGACCTAAAATATCATTGAATAAAAAAACTTCTAGCGCCGCCTAGGCACCGAGGACGTAAGCACATTGCCGAACCTCGTAAAATTCTCGTGTTCTTTTGTTTTCTTTACCCGTTTTCGTCAACAGAAAGGATCGATGAGAAGCAAAGCCGGCGCCGGAGCTCGACGGTACAACAAATCAGAGGTTCCACGTTTGAAATGGACTCCTCAGCTTCACCGCCACTTTGTTCAAGCCGTGGATCTCCTTGGTGGAAGATACAGTGAGCTCCTGAATATTACTCTTGATTTTCCCCGTAAATAGCTTGCTTCAAAGGGAACAGCCCTTGCTTTATAAAATTTGAATCCAATCCTTGACTTGTTGTCCGGGATCGTTTTTCTGCGTCAACATGCTTGAAATACCAAAACGAAAGTGAAGAAATTGCTCTGGTTCTTCACTATTTTGTTTGATGCCCTAAATAAGTGTGCAGTTTGAATATTCATCATCATTTTTCTATCATGTCTTTATTAATATATAGTTGAAGGTTGGTTTACTCTGCAGAAGCAACGCCAAAGAGAATACTGCAGATGATGACTACTGTAAACGGGCTCAGCATTTCCCATATCAAAAGCCATCTTCAGGTATTGTTTTTTTTTTTACTTTAAATTGACATATTATGTCAAGATTTTATAATATACATATTATTAGTTTTATTAATCTACAATCTTATATACACAATTGTTCGAACCCAAATCACGTAGGATGAATAATATTTCTTTTTACCAATTAATATACTGAATGAATTAAATAAATAAAAGTAATTATATTTACATATTATTAGCTTTATGCATTGTTAATGGAACAAAGAATGACTCATCATTAAAAATAAAGTTAAATAAACTTGATTTTAATTTTATGATAGTGTGTTATTATCTGATTCCTTAATATTATATATAATTATACAATAAATAAAATCCTAATTAATTTATTTTTAATATTTTTAAAAAATAGTTATTAATTTATTCATTAATAGTTTGTCTCAACATTGCTTATTAACTATATATTAAACTTATACACTATAAATACATCAAATAGATATCTATAAGATTATAAATATTTACATGTAAGATATAGATTAATAATTTTTTTTGGTAACTTGTAAGATATAGAATATTAATTAGCTTTTATTGTAATATATAGTTATAATATATATGTTACATAAACTATTACTATTATTATTCTCTCACATACATTAAAATATAATAAATCAGTGTTATTATATTTTTTCTGGGCTGTATAATCAACCTAATTCTTGTGGTTTCATGCAATGTGATTGTTTATAAAATATGTAAAGCATACGACGGTTGTTATATTATGGTATAGACTTAGCTAAAAACAGTTTAATATTAAACTTTTTGATGAACCCTGCAGATGTACCGAAGCTGCACAGATAGCAACTTGCGCTTAAGAAGATCACGCCTTGAAGACAGTTTCAACGCTGGACTCTTCTCAAATCTCTCATCATCTAACAGGTAAAACCACACCTTAAAAGCGTTGTTGCACCGGACTTCCACCATCAACTGACTCAATGTAGGGTCAAAATTTAGAAGAAATCCTTACCGTCGATGGAGAATATATTAGTTATGGCATTTAATGTTGTTTGAAAACAAGTTACCCTGAAAAGTCTTAACCTTTTTGGTCCCACTGAAATGAAGATGATAGCTCGGGAAAATAAGGGTGCAACCGAAAGCCTTTCCTAATGTCCTTATCTCTTTGATTCAACATTTAGTAGAACACCTTTTCTCAAGAAAGCTTTGTTTACTTTACAGTATGAAGATTCCCACTGATGTTTTGTATCCGGTTCTTCATTTACAAATGAGATCTCTTATCCATAATAATGGTTTGCAGAGTAGAAGGATCTGAACACAAAGATCGGAAAAGCAGTCATAGCCATTCACAAGTGGAAGAAGCAGCTAAGCTCCTTGAGCATCAGCAGGTACCATTCATAGTTAGTAATGTTGCCCCGTCGAAACATATCTTTCTTGCTTATCTGCACCTGCTATCCAAAGCACTTCACACCATTTCCAACACCATTCTCTTTTAGTGATCTCACAATAAAAATGACACTAAGATTTTACTTGAAAAACTTGTTTTTGGTACAGGATACATACGCATGCTTTGTTGGTAAAAAGTTAGAAGATGAAGAGGATGGAGAAGTTTGTGAGCTATCTCTATGCACCTCAAGATATGATGAGAAAGGCTACTTTCTTGGGCGTCCAACTTTCATAAGGACTTCAAACTTTTCCAACAATCACATTAATTTGGACTTAACCATCTCCACCACATTTCCCAATTGATCATCACTTTTTGTTTTAGTATACTGTAATAACATTTGAGTTTTTTTTTTTAGTTTTACGAAACAAATTTGTTTTAAATTAGAACATGTGGGTATATATGGAGTTTTGATTATGTCGTGGAAGAATTATTACGTAAAATTGTCCTGATTTTCAAATTGGACGCAATCCTCTAAGATTAACACGATCCTTCAAATATCATACATCCAAAATTTAAAGTGAGAATAAGTGGTAGGAACAAGAGAATGATATTTTCTTAATTAATCGGAAAAGATCAATAAAACATATAAGAGAGAAAACTCAAAACACTCGTAGAATATGAGATTTTAATAGTTTTATTATATTTAAACTGAAAGAAAAGCCTCTTTATTTATAATTATAGGGGTTGAACAGAACATAATAAAAAGTACGTCAATTAATCACGTTAAAAGGGTTGTCTCATGCAAATAATCTTGAACTATGTTGTAATTGATTGTCTTGAATTATATTGTGATTATTTGAATTGAATTAAGGTATAAATCTTATCATCAGCAAATTAGATTAAAATTCTTTAATATGCAGTTATAAAACGTGTTATTTGAATATAAAATGCTCAAATTATTTAGTGATTTTTTAATCAATCTATCTTGGGACTTTCAGTGAAGAACTTCCGAATTTTCTCTAAAAAAGAGTTACAAAATTAACCAAACTTTTTATATTTCTAACACCTTTTATCATGTTTCAATAATATTTTCACTATCTTGGAAAACAATCATCTTGACATTTATACGTGTTTTTAACGAATATCAATCAATCGGACACATTTAATTAAGTTTGGGTTAGTAAACGAATCTGATGTTTAACGAACTATTCACGAATCGTTCGGTGAGAAGTTTTTTTTATGTTCATTTATTTATTAAACAAATGAATATGAATAAGATTTTATATTCGTTTAATTAAATTAATGAACACGAATAAAAAGGGCTCGTTCGTTCGTTAACGTTCGATAATCTGTTTGTTTATGTTCATTCATTTATATTAGTTCGTTTATATTCAGCACAATCTCCAAACTTTAAAATATTAAGACTTAATAAATTTTATTAATATTTTAAAACCCCATTAATTTTAAACCCAAATAAAAAAAATACCCAAATCAATTAAAGGAAATATAAACCCTAAAATTATTTAAAAATGAATTTTTTCCTCAAATACAAACCAAAATAATTTTATGTTTGTTCGTTTATGTTCTTTAAGGGTCAAATTATCACATAGATCCTCCAAAAAAACCATGGATTCCAAAAAGAAACATCACCCTCATCTTTTGGGCCAAGACCAACCCAAAGTAAGAGCAAATTCACGAGCCCAAAAAGCCTTAACAACCTCTCAATCGAAATACCAAATTCTTGGGCTAATACTCAAATGTAGACATGATACTCACGGTTATCCATGTTAATACATTTTTGGGGGGATATTCTTGCACTGTTGCACATTCTTCGTAATGGCTATTGGCCGTGTATTTCAAAGAATTGTGATTGTGAAATGGACAATGGCCTTTCCAAATAAAAAATAAAAATAATAATAATAAATCCGAGAACAATGTCCAAAGATTCACACTTGAACAAGTTGCTATATGCCTTTATTACACAAATAATTCAATCTCGCAAAAAATATATATATATTTTTATCAGATTGCCACTAATCCTCGTAGTTCACAGCCACACCGAAACCACTGTTACCCTCCCTATCCAAATCCATCATTATTTAATCCCTCAATCCACAAGCTTATTCCTTGCTTTCTCACAGTTGGTTTCCTCTACGCGAAGGAATTAATTTTTTTTGTTTTAAAAAACTCCCAAAGTCTCTTGTTTTATTGTTCCACCCATTTTGCAAACTTATCAGGACCCATTCCTTTTCTCTCCCTTTGATATGCATAGCCCTTTTCACTTTCACATTTAATTTTTGTTAATCCTTGTACCCTTTTTTTCGCGTCTTCATTTCCTTTGTTACTTGATTATATCAAGTTTCTTCCGGCAATATAAGAGGAAAGGGTAATTTTTATTTATTTAATCTTGGTCTTCTGCATTCTTCACCTTTATTCAATTATTCTTTTTAGTTATCGGATTCTCATCTGATGTTTCTTAATCTGAATCGACTGGTTCATAATCCTTTTCTGGGTATTCCTTATTTTTTTTCTTTTTACTGCCAATTTACCCTGATTTAACTTGCAATCTGATCTGCTACTGGTTTTGGGTAAGTTTTGCCTTGAGTTTATTTGCTAGTAGCTTTGTCTTTTTCTTACTGTATCTAGAGGTACTAGTTTTAGCTTCTTGGTATCGTAGAGACTCTACATTATTGACTTCATTTCGGATATGGGGTCTCCTTCATTCCTGCTTGAGACCCTTTTCATGTATTCTATTTTGGAACTGAACTCTTTTTCTTTGTTCATTTCTACGTGCTAATGTTGGTAAATGTTTGTCCGTCTTATCTTTTTGAAACGGTCATCTTACTTTTAATGCAATGATAATTCTTTTTCTTTGATTGTCCAAGTAATGATTGAATTCCCCAAGTCCAACTTTGATACAATTTGCAGACATGCAATTCAACTCCTTCGTAGACTTGAATAACTAAGGCTGCGCTTCAAAATGCGATTCTTTAAAGAATATATATATATTATAATCTAGTATCTTAAATATTAAAAACATTTTATCATGAAGTCTCTAAGAAAATGTTCAATACCACTGAGTTTAAAATCGGATTGTGTTAAGCATATATTGTCTAATAGCATTAGATTTGCTTTAATTGTTTCAAGTCATTGCTCAATAATACGACTGATTCAGGAGCATTGTCCTTCTGAAAGCATTCTAAAGAAGAATAGTATGTTAAGAATAATGACATTGAAACTGTATGGCCCCTGTGTATCACTTTAGGATTAAAACCAATTGAGGTTAAGATCCCATTTTCACTTTATTTTTATTTATTGTATTTTTAGTTTATATCAAATTAACCAAATGTTCACTTTGTTTTCTGTATTGGGAGCGAAGTCCATGAGGTTAAATTCTTATTCCCAGCAAGAGTGACGTTCTAGTTTTCTGTCTTATTTATACGATCTTCAGTCGTATCAAGCTAAAAACTTATTTTAATCCTTAAAGGTTCAGTCAGATATATAATTTATCTTTACAAGTGGAAGTTCCCTGAATTTGATTCTTTGACTGAAATTTCAAGTTTGGAATGCCTCCAATTTACCTTGGGAACTAGTTTTGGATAGATAACTATATCTGCGATTTATGAGCACGTGAAGTTCTTTAAGAACGGTTATACTATGGACTGATGGACTTTTTAGAACTGACCCTTGTCTTAAGTTAAATCATACTCTCTTTACTTGAATGGCTTCTTACAATCATTAAATTATTTCAAGTGGATGTTGATAGCTCCTCCAAACATGGCTTAATCCCCAACCTAAGGAGAGCTTTGTTGTTATTCCTGCTTAGGAAGTAAACCAAAAATGACGTGACCATTTAGAATTGAGCATGTTTCTATGGATAGGCTCTGTTATTGGAGTACTTTTAACATTGATTGGGATATTTTAATCATTATGTTAATAAATAACAACTGGTAAACTTAAACTCTGTGACATCTTATCTAGCTAAAAATTAAACTCTTATACTAATTTTTTGGCTGAAATTTCAAGTTTGAGATTTCTCCAAAGTGATAAACAATTGTTCTGTTCTTTTGGACAGACAACATATATCTGCTATTTTTTAGTATGTGAAGTTCTCTTAAAAATAGGTTTGATATGGTGCTTTTGAATCTAACCCTTTTCTTACATTACATGTTGCTCTCTCTACTTCCGAAGCTCTTTTATGGAGGATAAGTATAAAAAGGTTTGTATTTTCATATTTTTGCAGGATAATCGAACCGATTGCTTTTAGGAAATAACATGTACCCTTCTTATAGTTGCATGCCTTCTTTATAACTTAGTTATTTATTTTTTACAGTTATAATGGTGAGAGTTTTCTCTGTGAGTTTATCTCTCTGTTATGCTAAAATTTAGAAACCTACAATTTCTTTTTGACAAATTTATGCAGGGTTTCATTTCTCGTGATTCATCAGAGACCTTCCTTTTTATAACTGTTTTTATTCTCTTTCGACTTCAATCATATATGGGCTGAGGTGCACATTTCATGGGAGGTGTAGGGGACGATGAACCAGCTTCAAAACGCATGAAACTATCCTCTGAAGAATTGAGACACCTTTCAAACGGTTCAACTCTTAAAGAGCCTATAGTTAGGTCTACAAGAGACTTGATGGCTCGGCCCCTGCAGTCTGAAGGGGGCGAAGAAGTTTTTGGCCCAAAAGGAATTATAAAGAAAGTAGAATTTGTCCGAATAATAGCGAAAGCATTGTTCTCACTTGGTTATGTAAAGAGTGGTGCTCATCTAGAGGAAGAATCAGGGATAGCGTTGCATTCTTCTCTCGTTAATGTATTTATGAAGCAAATTCTTGAGGGAGATTGGGAAGGAAGTGTTGTCACATTGAACAATATTGGTCTGACAGATGAAATGACCATAAAATCAGCCTGTTTTCTGATATTGGAACAGAAATATTTTGAATTTTTGGATGAAGAAAAAGTCACGGATGCTCTGAAGACGCTGAGAACTGAGATATCACCTCTTTGTATCAATGATAGTAGAGTTCGTGAGCTTTCTTTGTTCATTGTGTCACCCTCTCGCTGTTTTTCTGTTCAGTCTCCAAAACAAGATACGTCGAGAGCAAGATCCCGGACTAAGTTATTGGAAGAATTACAGAAGCTGCTTCCTCCAACAGTTATGGTTCCTGAAAGAAGGTTGGAGCATTTAGTTGAACAGGCCCTTGTCTTGCAAAGAGATGCTTGCATGTTCCACAACTCTTTGTATAAAGAAATTTCTCTATATGCTGACCATCAGTGTGCTAGAGACCAAATTCCTTCTTATGCATTGCAGGTTAGATTCTATTCTGGTAATCAAGCTTTTGTAGTTTTCAAATCTGTCTCTTATCTTTAATGCTTTTCTT